GTTATATTGTCATTGGAAACTATGTAGTTTTGAAGAGATGGAAAAAATAAGAAAAAAAAATTTTTTTTTGTGGCCATTCCTCACGACTCCATCGTGTACAATATTCTAGTTTTTTATTGTAACAACAGAAGGTCCAAATAACATTATATCAGTCTCATTGTTAGCTACAGGAGGTTGTTACAGCCTATTTTAAAATGCCTTTTTAAAACTATTATACTTTAATAATATCATTAAAACAAATAAACAACTTTCTCAAAACATAAAGGGCCCACCTTTATAAATGCTTTCTCAGCTTCTCTTAAAGCTTGTCATAAAACTAATAGGGATTTATTGTAGTATGCCTCAAAGCAATAATAAAACCTATCAAAACTACTTCCTTTAAAGCCTCTTAGCACGAGTTCTGACCTATATGTTTTAAAATGACAGTTGTTGAGATAATATAGTCCGTAACGTGTTTTATGATAGTCTTTTTTCAAAACTAATTATAATACAAACATGTCAAAATGGAGAGAAAACAATAGATAGTTATAAAAGAGATTAAACATGACGGTATGATATGATAATTCCCTACTGTATCAAATAGTCCTTTTTGTGAAGATTGAGGCTGTAAAATGAAAACGATGACGACTTTTTTGACAAAAACATACCAGATATGCTTCAAGAAAAGCAGCGCCCTAGAAATAATGTATTTTTACCAGTTAGAATTGGATGTGAATTTTAATAAATTTTCAAAAAAGTTGACAAAACTGTGTGAATGTTTGCTGATTATGAGTGAGTCGTTTGAAAAATGTGGAAAAACAACATTTCCGACGGCAGTATCAATGCATCTTTTCTATTTTCCGCTTGAAATTTTCATTTCCATCAATGGCCGACATCTGTTTGTAGTAAATATGGCGCAAAATATACTTAAAACCAACTATCTTTTTCTAATGCTGGATTAAAACCTATAGGTAATGATGAGGCATTTTATGAGACGATTTTCTCCTGTTGAAGTACTTATTGCATATTCAAATCCATTCTTATGACTATTTGCTCCTGATGGGTATGACAACAAAGCTTCGAAAATGATAAGATTGATTCAAGAAGGTTATAAGATAATGCCTTCATAAAACTATAAAGCTTTAAGAATATCCTGGCTAGTGCTCATTGGCAGTGATGTTGCAAAGTGTAGAAGAACGTCATCAACATGATTAACATAACCCCACTCTTGTTGTTTACAGAGTTCACTTTGTAAATTTTGTGATTGGTTTAAAGTAGGAAACCGAGTGAGAAACATAGATAAACTATACTCAGTGCAGTTCGCCTGATATTGTGTTGATTGCTCCATTCTCTCAAGAAAGTGTTTGGGATCACACGTTAAAAGGTAAGGCCCCCGTCATTCCTTGCTCGCACACGACTCTCGAAGACTTCTGAGGGTTGCTCGTAAGGGGGCAACCGAATGACGGATAGAACAATTTCAATTTCAGAACAATATACAGGGTGATTCAAAATTTTAAGGACACATTTTTGGGGCAAAATAACACTTTATCTTCATTTAATCATGAGTGTCTTAAAATGCACTCTCTCTTATCTTCAGCCACTGTAAGTTAGATCATCTTCTGGAAATTGGCAAAAATTTTATATACACGTCAGTCATTTAATTAAGAAATCATATTTCAAACTCAAAGTACTATACCTCCAGAGAGACATTCTGAGTACTAGTGTGAAGCTCAAACTTTGCGATTCTTTGATCTTATAGGGTTTGGCTTATTGCGATATTGTTTATTGGCCAGCATTATTACATAGAGACAAAGCTAGTCTCCGAAAAGTACAGAACTCATGACTAAAATTTTGCTATAATCTACGTAAGTATGACCATTTTAGCCTCGAATTTAGACAATCCGGTTGGTTGAACTTAGATGAGAGATTCAAGCTCCATATGTCATCCTTGGTTCAGAAAATAAATAAACAAAGTGTTCCTCCATATTTGTTCAGCAAGCTCTCAACAGGTTCAGATATACATGACAGGTTGACACGTTCACGTGACTGTTATACCGTTCCAAAGCACAATATCGCCCAATTCCAGAAGTGTTTTCCATACATTTCCACTCACACGTACAATTCTTTACCTGCCCACGTTAGATCTGCCCGGACCCTCAATACATTCAAAATATATGCCAAATCCTATAATATATGATATGAGAAACTCTAACTCTTAATTAGTGAAATATTATTTCTGTTATTATTATCATTATTATTATTATTATAATTATTTTCATTATTATTACTGTCATCAGTATTTTATTGTTATAGCATTATCATTATTGATTGATTTATTTTGCTTTTATATTTAATTAGTGCTCTATACGTACCTATAGTACGATATTTCAATAGTAGGTGATTTATTTTTCCTCAAATTAATTGAAAATAGCCTTTCAACATATTGGATACTTAGGGGGTTGTATGGAAGAGCAACCTTGTGTAATGCCGCCTCCTCCTTATAATACTCTTATGCATTTTGTTCATAAATGAAAAATAAAGACACATTATTATTATAATTATTATTATGTCGCCTATGTTTGAATCCGGCCCTGGTTCGTGCGATACTGCCACCAGTGCTCCGCATACTTTCCTCATTCCCCCGACCGAAACCGCACGTCCGGCAACAGCGCATCCTCTTAGGCCGAACTTGTGCGACGACCGGCCCGTCCACATGTCGCGCCGCAGCTGTTTCTTCGGTGCTTCGCCAAACCGGCCCATACGAGCGATATCAAGTGGCCGTGGAAAATTATTATAATTCGCATGTGGCCGGTACAGGTTGCTGGGACGGTCGGTCGGGGTCTAGGGACTGCGGCTGTGGTTTTGGCTTGCAGCCCCGGCAAATTGGCTGTTTTGCCTCGAGGGGAATGAGGGGTTGATGAAAAAGGAGATGGCGAGACCACACATTATCAACTCCTGAATATAGCAGTCGAAATCCATCTCTATGACCTGTTTTTTTTACCACGTTTTTACTAGGTCAGTGTTCTTTCTGTCTGTCTATTTGTCTGTCTGTTGACGTATGTCCCTTTGCCTATGAAACACCCTGTATTGGTGTTAGTTTATTGTACTAGTATACCACTTGAACAAGCTACCGTGATGTTAGCGAAACAAGTAGTGTTTTCTGGAATTTTATGTAATTGATCTACTCTAGATACCTATCATTGAAATTTGCTCGTCAGTAACTTTTCCGATTATTCTTCTCATTGAATTATTGAATTGTAGATGAATCAAGATTAGCTGAACATCTCTTTACTGAAAATGGACAACATGGCGACATGGAATATGATAACATTGTTTCCTGTTCAGCTGCTTAGATAGTATAATTATGGTATTCACTCCTAAAATTGAGTATGAAAATGGTGAAACACCCTGTAATTCGAAATTCTGAGAAAAAAGTTAACGTTTCATCATAAAAATTGAAACTTCGAGAAAAGTCGAGATTTCGACATTGATGAAAAATGGCCTACTCGGTCGGGGTCACGTGATTTTCGTTACATGTCAAAAGAATCATGTTTTCAAATCAATCGCTGAAAATAGGTATATTTGTTTGAATTTCAATAAAGTGTACTTCGAAAAGTTGTTTCTATTACCCGACTATTACCTACCTAGTACCTCTACGTATAATTTTTTATTCAAATTTCTGGATCTATATCACATCTCAGGGTACCTGTTGGTGTTCGTGAAATGAGTCGCAGATCTCATGGTAAAATCTCTCAAATAACGATATATGTTTAATGATTTCCTGTAAGTTCCTTCTTTATTAGCCCTTAATTTTTCTATGAATTTGTCTCCCGCTTAGCCTGTGTCGACGTGTTAGTTTTAGATCAATCTGTGAATCAGAAGCAGCAGATATGACTGTTTGATACTACAAAGAAATAATTAAGAGAACAAACTCAAAGTCTCGCTCCAAGTAAATTATAATCAAATCATATGTGCTACATGTTTCGACTCCTAGGAGTCATCATCAGGCTAAAATACAACACTTATAAATAGAAGAAGTTCCATCACTATTGGAAAATGGGTGACATACCTTGCTAGGTAGGAGGAGAAAAGAAACTATAAAACTGACGACATAGTTCATAAGGGTTTTAAGCCCAAAATAATTTCAAAAAACATTTTTGAATTTTGGTTTTTTGAACCCCCAAATAAACATTTTTCCTAAGATGCTTCTTTTTGGATCAAATTAACATAGTGTACAGCAAATGGCGCGAGTATGAAGTGAATAAACCGACAGACTACTTGATTTGAAAGATAAAAATGGTAGATAAAAATTATTTTTCGACAAACAAGTGACGAATGTCATCTATCAAAAACACAAAACATTGAAGTTGACTTAATGGGCCATACATCAAAGTTCATAACAAACAAGGAAATGTGTCTTGATTGACTAAGTCGGGTATTTAAAATTGTGTTTTTTGAAATAGGAATAACAACGTTTAACAAAGGGATTGCCAATGCAACCAATGAATGGAGAGGAAGATTACAAAATGGAATTGAAAGTGGATATCACAAAATTTCTCTTCTTTCTTCCAGTCCAGTAACGAAAAATTGTCATTCACTGCGTCAGATCCTGTTTTCGCATCCAATGTTGGTGTGTGGTACATAAAGCGTTGATGAAAATATTCGCACTTTTCGAAGAAAAAAAAATATTGGCACACACGAGGGATGAACTGGCTACCAAAGCTCAGTGGCGAGATTATTCTGACGACCTCAATTTCTCGGAGGGCGGGTCCAAACCCCATGGACCCCTCCTAAATCACGCCACTGAATGAATAAAGGGTGTAGATTTGAAAGGATACAAACATTAATAAAAATATGAGCCTTCGTACCATGGTGACCTAACGATGAAGTAAGTTACCCATGCCATACCCAACCCGAATGAGCAAGTCGCTTGGAATTCCGTCCGTCCGTGTCCGACCTTGGCGTCGAGTTGGCAACGCCGCTCTCGGCGTCGCGCTCGCTTCCACAGTGCTCTTCGCGCTGCCTTCCGTCGAATACGTTCATGGACAGAAGAGTGCATCGCGTAAGGAAATCTCGATCTTCGTTCTTCGTGGAAAGAGTGCCGTGAGCTTCGCGATAGATAGTTTCTCGTTTGTCACGCTCGGTCCGTTTTTGTGGTTATCTTCGGCACTTTTGGACTTTTTCTTCATGTTGTGGGTGTTTCGTGGTGGTTCTTCGCAAAGGATACGCATGAATCGTAAGTACCCGGCCGTGAAAATCGATTGGTATCGATTATTTATTGTCGAGATCAAAGAGGTATTTTTTTCGGATCGTTGGTAACCGCGGCACAGATTACCCCGTGACTGCGGAGTACCTATGAAGCGCCTTCGGAGTGTGGCACGAAATTCAAGATGACCACCTGATAGGTTATCAATTTCACGGAAAATATCGTCGGTATGCAATTTATCAGAATTCTTGTCTTACCTACCACTTGTTCTAGCTTTTGCTCTATTTCATGTAGGTATTACCAGGTAGGTACTTTACCGTACTCTACCTACTAAGTAGGTAGTTTCTTTAGATTTTCCGTTCGTTTCTGAGTTTTTTCCTCCCTAGTTTCTTATCTTAATTACGCGAAGCAATCACCACCAAGTGGTAGGTACCTAAAACATATGCATGTAGAAGATATCGGTGGTTACGGAGGGCTATCTCTTATAACTACTTGCCTATTTGCTTTTCAAAATGCTTCCCATTAGATTTATTTTATGAGGTCTAACATTTTCAGTCTCACCAGTTGGCGGTACTAAAAAGGGAGGGCAATGTCAAAGTCGAAAATCGGAGAATTTTCCAGAGCCCAAAAGGCTGTGGTCTGTTTCATCAAAAATATTTGAAGAAAATCATGTAGAATCATTGAACCAATAGAAAACCCTCGAGAAAACCTCAAGTTGTGGAAAGACTTGAGCAGACTTACGTTTCTTTACTCATCATGTCGAACTTAACGACCAATTCTTCTATTGACGGATAATAAGAAATCGTAGGAAGAGGCCAAATGACAGGAGAAGATGGAAAGAAGATATTTATCAGTTCTACCAACACTGACCTCACGTTTCAGTGACGCGATTTGGAGGCAAATAATTAATGTCAGCCCTCATTAATTGCATAATTTTTTTTTGTTAATGAATTTCTTTGTCAAATCTCCAAATATGCCAATCGATTTTCCATTGAATTTCCTCGGAATTTGCGTTTGTACTTTGTAGGTAGTATACCTCGAGAGGTCGTTCAGCACTTGGTCCAATATGTGTACACTCAGCGTCCAATTCCGATGCAATCCGTCCAATTCCGATGCAATCTGTCCAATCCAATTTTATCGCAATATGACTAATCTAACACCTACCTACCTATGACCAGTCTTAGTCCAACACCACCAATGTCGGTTAGATTTGGCCAATTCCAAGCTCGGTTCATTCCGTCCCATTTCAGTCTAAATCTGGAACTGTGATATGTCCAATCTTGCCGATAATCTTGCGGTCTTTTAAATCCAAACTGGTGCCATTCAATTATCCAATCTCAAGCAGTCCGTCAAATCCCGACCAATCTTGAAATCTTGACACATTTCTATCAATTCGTGTCCATTATTTTACAATTCCATCAAATTAGATTTTTTGGGCAATTGGAAGAGAATTCCTTTACTGTTGGGAGAATATCATGCGTAACTAGGGGGGGGGGGGGGGAGGGAAAAGAGGTAGGCTCGGAGGTAGGTATTGAAAATTTTGTTGTTGAACTTTTGGAGATTTCAAGTTCTTGAAAATACGTTCTATATAAACAAACGAGTTTTGATAAAGTGGTGTTCGACAAACTCCGAGGACAGTGACGTGTGTTTTTATTTAGGCGGTCGAATTTTCGCAAAATCTTATCAGGATTCGTTTTTTCAGATAGGAAAACCAATCTCACCATTCCTCATCAAGCTCATGAAACCTGTAAAGTGTATAATATGCAATGAATAGATAAAGGATAGATACTAAATAATTTTATACAGCTTATATAGTGTCAATGATCATTGGCGAGATCATTGGCTTAGGTCTGCTCTGGCCTACTGTTTAATTTTAATTAACTTCATTAATTGTGTGAACTGGACCAAATATGAGTTGGGTATTTGGGAAATCAATTAAGTTTCTCAAAGAGATGGCTGGAAGTGGCCCACTCGAGGGCTCACTCTAAGCAAAACTTTTGTAAGTCGGCTTCATTCAAATTCTCAACTTTCAGAACCTTTTAGGCATTGGCATTGCATTCATGCCGGTGCATACCTACCTACCGGCTGAGACCATAGACGTACGCAGAAGAAAATAAATTTCGAGTCTGAAATCCTCGATTTTTCGATTTCGTTATATAGGTACGATAATATAGTTATTTATACACCAAGGTTATAGAGAATATCAGTATTACCCAGGGACCAAGATTATATCCCGAGGCTTCAGCCGAGGGGTATAAGCCTTTATTAAGGTGTATATTAAATTTTTTTCTCCACCAGCAATAGATTCCAACCATTCCAGTTCTCTGAAACAGCATTTCTTTTCACTTCTTATTAAAATCTAGTAGCCATGACCATGACAGCATATGACAGGTCGTTATTGATAAATACCTACTAGACTCGAGTGCCATTTTTATGAATCTAAAATTGTTCTTATCCATCATTCCTTTGCCCCCTCACGAGCAACCCTCAAGTCTTCAAGAGACTTGTGCGAGCAAGGAATGAAGTGTGATCCCAAACACTTTCTTAGGCCATCAGAAAAATGTCTGCGGTCGTGGTGGGAATCGAACCCACCTACCGATTCAATACTTTTATTTCTCAACTTAAACATGTATAACATGTAAATAAAACAGCAACATATGAAACATTACGGTACAAATACACGTTAAAACCCTCTGGGGAGACCTCCCGGTGCCCAGAGGTCGGCCACGAATGGTCCAGGGGGGTCGGTTTTTACACAACACACATGATAAATATGATGGACAGGCTATGTCCCAGGACGGGGTCCTATCCATGGCCAATATCAGCGAGATGCTCAGGGCGAGCGAAAATTCAACGTTCAGATTTGATGCTACCAAGATCTCTCTAAATTAGGTGATTTAATTAGAGTGGAAAATGAAAATAAAGAACCACTATTTCAATACTTCCAAGTGCAACTGCCATGGGATGGTGTGGGTAAGGGTTGGGGATGGGGTTGGTAGGAAGGTATAGGACTAACAGACTGAATTCAAGCGAATATCGGTTAGTCGGATGTGGTCCGAGTCGGGTCCGAGTGAATATTCACTGGCTCAGCTAGTGGTTGTGCCAAATTACTAACTTCGCCCACTTTGGGCTGGATGTGATCAGTCGTTCGGAACCCACCTACCGGTACGTGAATAGAAACTGAAACTTCTACCACGAGGCTACGCTGGCCAGAACAGTGAATTCAGGTTAATTATAACACAGGTGACTGTCTTTATTGACTAGTGGTTCATAAAATGACGAAAACTACCTTGGTAGTAAAAATACACTTTACGCTTCTAAAAGAAGCAAATAATGGTATATATAGGTTCCATAGCGATAGGGGTGGAACTCGGGGTGGAAAAACAATGATATCGATACCTACCGAGATACCTACCTTCAACAAAACCAATGTATAAAAGTTGTGAATATCAAAATATTGAGCTAATGGCGTTCCAAAACAAAATTCAAGATGTGCATGGGGGTATAAATTCCTGAAAAACCGACAGCCGTCATCATTTAAATAATTATTAGGAATTGAAGAAGAAACTTATTTTCAATTTTAATAAATTGTCTTTCAAATTCAAACCAAACATCATGTTTTCCCGAGTGTTTTCCTGAGTGTTTTCCAATTCAATAAAGTTCACAAGGGAGTCTTTCCCTCATTACTGAATCTTTGATATTCAGTTGGCCGTTTTACGATTCCAAGTGGCGTCGATTGATGAACTTTGAATAACAGGTCAACACCGAAGATATCTTCTGTTAGTCCTTTTATTTATGCCAAGATTTTTATTGTGGTTTCCGAAGACGTTTCTCTCCAATTTAAAATCTGGGACCCTGATCTTTTGAATAATATTGCATCACAAAATTTCGGATATAGGAACTTTTGCACTATTAGCGATACTATATTAGTTTGATATACCAGACACTCGACCAGACATTAAGCACTGATGATGACGATATAGTTAACTTGAAATAACTCTGAAATAGACAATTTGAACAGATAATGCCTATAATGCAAAAGATTTTTCCTTTATTTTCTCTGTTTTGAAATATTTATTAGTAAAATGGTGCCCCTTTTGTAATCTTTCGTGGGTGCCTATGCTTTGCACCGTCTTTTGTTTTCGTGTGTCCCGCCTGCAGGCACAAGTTGTTCGATTCGATCCTCTCTGCTTCTCCTCCCATTTTTCCTCTTATTTCTTTTGTTTTGTTTTCTTCGTGAAACTTTAGTAGACCCGAATTGTGAATTTTAATTTGCACGACGTTGTCAAACAACTACTTAGGGGAACTAAAGATGCTATTTAGGAAACAAAAGATCGAGCAAAGGTTGTGACCGAAAGAAATTTAACAAAAAGAAGAAGCGGGAAACTTACCGGATTATATTATCATAGGTATACTTATTAGGTAGGTATATGAAGATGAAGACGGTCTCGATTTGGACGAAAGGAAAATATTGTATCGAAATTAGGATGCAGAAACGAAATCGAATGGCATGATATTATGTCATGAATTGGAAGTAGATATTATGTTGTTTCTGTTGATTATTGAATAACTGTTGATTCAGAAAATATACAAGGTGTCCCAAAACAACATACCATAAATTCTACAGGGTGAACTAGACACTAAAATAGACTGATTGAAATCAACTTGCCGCTTTACGAAAATGCACCGTTGAGTCGTTACAGGGCGATGAAGAATAATTTTATTTGCAGATTTTCGCTCGGATTTTCCTGAATATTTCAAAATCCTTGAAAGGTACTGCACTGGGAAATTCACTATCATGGATGTGCATGATGAAAATCATGTCATACGAATTTGTTCAATATACAGGGAGATAGATATTTCACATTCTCTTTGATGAAAACTGATGTAACCTTTTTCGAGTACGCCACTGCCCATATTTCGATATTTCAATTAGCGACACAATTAATTATCTAACTTTCTTCTAATTGCAGTTGTTCCATATTTTTTTTCAGTTCTATTATTGATCATTTCATTATTATTTGCAGAGA